AGAGAGAGAGAGAGAGAGAGAGAGAGAGAGAGAGAGAGAGAGAGAGAAAGAGAGAGAGAGAGTCATCCTCACAATTTGCTTGAGGAGGTCATTGATGGCCAATGGAAAGACACACACACACACACACAGAGGGGTGCCAGGGGGGAGAGAGAGAGAGGTAGGGGAGAAAGAGAGTGAAGAGCTTCATAAATTGCTTCAGGACGTCAATGGAGGCAAGTGGAAATGATAGGAGGGGGATTGCATGACTGTGCTGCCACATATATCAGGTGTGTGGTATCGAGGACATAAACACTCTGAAATGACCATATGGTTTGGCCAAAAGGATTTGCGTGTGGTTTAGTTGGAAAACGAAGAGGGATTGGATGACTCTGAAACTGTACGTATGAAGGACAATTAGAGAAAGCCAAAGCAGTCCAAGACTCCAAACTGACCAAGAAAAGGTTAACCAATCCCCCCGAGTTTTCTGTGCTTTCTAACCTAAACTTACAGGAAATACAGAAAACCTTTTTCAAGCAAACTAATCACCCATGCGGAGAAATTCCACAATACACAACAGCTGTGAAAAGACACCAAAAAGTTCCAAAGAACACCCAGAAAAGCAGCACAAGTACCCGTTCACACGAGATATCAGCTTCTCTGAAATTTTCAGTTTCTTCATCTTTTTCAAAATCGCCCAAGAAATCTACTTCCCAGCCTCCAATGTCTTTCAAACTTGACACACACAAATCCCGAACCAACCCTAAACGGGACAAGAAAAACTGGAGGAAAAAAAAAAAAAGAGAATGTGAAATCCCCCTAAAAGTTGAGGTGCATGCCAAAAATTACCAAAATACCCCTAAAAGATGTCCGTAGAGCAGAATACTCCTCTAACATTTCTAAAGTTTGCGAAATGCCCTTTTGGATTTAAATCTTTGCGTTATACCCTTGTCATCAGGCTGTCAGGGGGTTGCCAAGTTTGTGTTTTACCCTTCTCAGGGGCAGAACGCAAACTTGAGCAACCCCCAGAGAGAGGTAGAACACAAACATTTAAATCTAAAAGGGCACCATGGAGGGGTATTTCAGCATATACGTTAACTTTCAGGGGCATTTGGCAAAATTGCCCCCCCCAAAAAAGGGGACCTACCCTTCGAACATGAATTTCAGTGTTTTGGCGGCCAACCCAAGGACCATAAAGGGGGTAGGGGTTCCAGTTCACCACTTGTCACACCCCTCTGCAGTCCTTTCCTCCCTTCCGTGCAAACGATTGCGGACGTGAGGCACGCCTGGTCGCTCCAAAGCTCACATGGATGGCATATGGATGGCACATTGTTACTCCCGAAGCTCACATGGATGGCACATTGTGACTCCACTTGACACCCCTTCCTTCTCTCCCCTCCATGTGAAGCATCTTGCAACCCTCTCAACACTCCTTCCCACTCATCCTGCTTGACATCCTGTCCGGTCCACGAAGTTGTTGAAATATCCAGAAATCCATACGGTGAAAGATTGCAGAGCATTCCGAAAACTTGAAGTAGTATAGTCTCTGAGGATCCTACACAGACATGTGTTGGTTTTCTCCGGATTATCCATTGCATATTGAAATTCATTCAATATAGGTTAGGACTTTCCCGCATGTAGTTAGTAATGAGGTCAGAGATTACTCGTCTGACACGGAGTTTACCACTTTCATCGGCGAACAACCGAACCCTTGGAACCTCGACCTTCCACCATTACTGATGGGGTAAGACTATGCCTTCACCTTCAACTCAGTTCGAACTCTGTGTTGCTTTTCGTATGCAAACACTGCAAAGTATCTTGCTCTGTCTGCGTTGCTCTCCGTCCTTGGCCCTGCCTTGTCTAAAAGGCATCCTACAACCTTCTTCAGCACCGCCAACCCTGCTTCCATTGCATTCACCCCCTGCCCGACATCCCCTTTCCCCCTCTTGTGGGCAAGAATCCTGCAACCCAAATTTCCACTCCCTTTTGCCACCCTGCTTACGTTGGCATTCACCCCCTGCCCTACACCTTTTCCCCCCTGCTTGTGTGAAAAAATCCTCCAAACTCACCTTCTACTTCCCATTCCCCCCTCCCTTCCTGCCCCTTGAGGGTAAAGCATCCTCCTTGACACTCTCCCTCCCACCTAGCCATCCATGCCAAACATGTTGCAAGCCCCTTCGGCACTCCTTATCCCCCCCCACCTTTGCCCGCAAAGTGCTCCAAACCACACACGATAGGATGATATTGTCGGGCCATTGCTTTCACATGATCATCAGAAAGTGTGCACCCCTCTCCATGCGTGTGTTTGCATGGATGAAAGAGATAGGCAGGGGCGCAAGAGAGAGAGAGAGAGAGAGAGAGAGAGAGAGAGAGAGAGAGAGAGAGAGAGAGAGAGAGAGAGAGAGAGAGAGANGAGAGAGAGAGAGAGAGAGAGAGAGAGAGAGAGAGAGAGAGAGAGAGAGAGAGAGAGAGAGAGAGAGAGAGAGAGAGAGAGAGAGAGGACAGGAGAGGGGGCTAGGTTGTTTGGGTCTCAGATCTATTTTGGTTTAAGTGCATGTCTATATGTGTCCATCAGCATTGACGCCGTGACTGAACAAGTCCAATCCAGTTGTGCATGCCGCCTGCAAGTTCCACAAATCTGAGACCATGTGACGTCTGGGGCCCGCATTTTATTCAAATCCCAGCCAGTCTTTTCAAGCCACTTGTGCCCATGCATTTCAAAGCTTTACCAGTGCAATCCCACTCCCTGTTTCCTGTTAGCAAAGTCACAACGGGTCACCACGTTTTTTCACTTCCCTTTTCTTATCTTGAACTATGCATTTCTAATCAGACAAGCACTGCGTACTCAATTCAACCCAGAGAGCATACGGTGGAACCGGTGAACCATTTGAATCTCTTTTCGAATGGGGCAGAGGGCTCGTAGTACCTAACACACCTCGCACCTAACGTAATGGTGGTTTACAAATTTTCTCAGGACCAAGCAGCAAAATCGCCAGCTCAACAGGTAGAATGCCTTCAAAACCGGTTCGCCGTGCTGGATATATCCATGACCCATGACGAAATTCTGTACCAACAGTAAACCCTTGAGGATGTGAACAGAGTCATCAAACTCATAAGAGGTGCTTTTCTGTTCTCTTCTGGAAATTGCCGTCAATACCTCGGACCTGCACTACTCACCAAAGGTGTCGAGTGGTGAGTGCAACTTCCGCTAGACGACGTAAATATACCGATGCCTTCTTTTGTTCCTCGCCCATTTATGGAGTTGGGAGAGTGAGGATCATCAGTCTATGGAAATCTACGAAGCATCAGTTGGACCAACCTTTTTTCTTCTTTTTTTTGGGTCCCTTCAACTCCCTTGTGTTATTTGGTTTTGTGATATGGAATTTCGGTTGGCCCCTTACGTGGGTAATAACCTGCAAAATTGCAGGCCGTGAAAGCTGTGCTTTCCTGAGTTTTCACATCTGTTCAGTGTGGCTGCTTGCTGTCTGGGTCTGAATGTCCTGTGTCTGTGTGCGTGTCCGAGTGCCTGTGTGCGTGCATGCGGCTGAGTGTGCAGTTTGTGCATGTTTTGGCGCACTGGGCCACTGGCCTGGTACCAACCCTGTGCCGTGCGTGGATTTGTTCAGCGGGCAGCTTAGAGGGGGAGAGTAGGCCCGCGGTAGGCAAAAACAAGTAGCAGCGAGCAGCGGGCAGAAAAGGACAAAAAGGTAGTACGTCCGTGTAGGCCAAAGTAGTGATTTAGAGGTCCGGTAGGCTTAGGGGGAGGACCAAGAAAGGTACCAGCCTGGTTAGAGCCTGAATCTAGAGTCTGCAGGGGAACATATCAGACTGCAAGGATGTTCCCGGCAACTTCCTGCCAAAATGGGCAGGGGAACCCGTAGGCCGAGAGGCCAGGTAGCTGGGAAGTACCCAAGGGCAAGTGCAGCGGCCAGTATTTGAGAAGAGGCAGCGCTGCACTCCACCTCATTCTTCGCTCGGAGCAAGCCGTGAGGTTGCTTGAGCGTTCACCCAGCCCGGTGTGGTGCTGGGCAGTGAAGGGAGGCCAAGCTAGCCCACATGTTGGCTATGGTGGAGAAGCCAAGGCTAGGGAGGAGGAAGACGGCAGAGGAGTGAAGAGGAAGAAGGAGAAAGAGAGTGAAGTAGGAAGCTTATCTTGGCTATGATGGACGGCATCTTCATCTCCTTGGTTGGCACTGCATCGGGAAGGCCCCTGGATGGGGTAACGAAGTGAGGAAGACTCCGCAGGGTGATGTAGGCTGGGTGGTGGACGTGGAAGGGCCAGGAAAGCTTTGCATTGTCCTCTAAACGTCCGGGCCAGGTTTTGATGCTGCTGCCATAGGCGGATGCTCAACCAAGTAGCAGTAGGAGGTGTAGGGGGTCAAAGGTGACTTCTTGTGATGCCGGTAGTGAAGGGGAGATTCAGGCATCAATTCTGGTTCATTCATTCATTCATTGTATTTGTTATTATTATTTTTAAAAGATGCTGAGAGAGATGATGGGGATGAGAGATGGTGGCAAGTCGAGGGAGGAGCAACACTGGTTCAACCTTATGTTCTTCTTCTTCTTCTTCTTCTTCTGCTTCTGCTTCTGCTTCTGCTTCTGATTCTGATTCTGCTTCTGCTTCTTCCATTCTCCGTCCTTCTTCTTCCCTTGCCTATTTCTCTTTCCAACCTCTTTCATTTCAGTTGCAATGGAATGCCATTGTCTCTTTCTGAATTTTGCACTGTGCTATCTTCAGGGGCATAGCATGTGTTTATGTGATATGGAATCTCCGTACGACACTCAACCTGCGGATAACTCGAGTGCTGTCAAGGTGTAGTCAAACTTGTCACAGCTGCTTTTCCAGTCTTTCTAGAAAGCCTCTCCAAAAAGGAGTGCTTGTGAATCTTTTGTAGAATTTTTGCTGGAATGTTTGTTAGTGTTGGTTGGACCCTTAGTGTTTCTGCTTTTGCAATTTGACCGGCAAACTGTTTGCTGCGGGTTCAGATTTGTTGTCCCTGATTTTTGTTTTCCTTTGTCTTAGGGCCTTAGGCTCATCATTAGTCACACTGCGTGATCTTCATTGCAACAGGTGGAGCACTCGATGGGCTGAGGGTGGCCCAGAGGGTGACAGACCCCAAGGAAACTCCGAACACTTGCAACTCAGAATTGTGCAGATAAACTAAGCTGGGTGCTACGTTCCGAAGTCGAAAGGGAAAAAGCCCAGATCACCCGCCATTGCATTCTGACAAGGTCCTCTGTAATATTTGACAAAGAACACTGTCATTCGCCATCATATCTGAGATATAATGGGCAGTCAGTCGCTAACTGCTCTAATGCACGTCCTCGCAGGCAAAGGAGAGAGAGAGAGTCTGAGAGACACTTCGGAGGCACTAGTTTTCTGCATACGGCACTCTGCACTCTGTTGAAGATTTTGGAACATGAGACTGGAAGCTGTTGCCGCTCAACTGCCCACACCTGTCTTTTCTCCTAGCTGTCTTCTTTGAAACTATGCCGAGTTGATTCACAACTTGTCCAAAGGAACATTCTCATTGTTGGCGACTAACCATCCACCGGGATTCCACCCCCATCGACCATATCAAATATGCTGACAGCTCTGGCGACAGTCAGGCGACTGTAATCCAATGCCAGTGCTGGCAGTGCTGGCCTGATGATGGACATCATTACAAGGAGGTGGCCACAAAAGGCACCGTGACCACTTCGCCAAAAACGATATGGAATCGCAGCCAAGGATCCCGTCGATCAGATTACATGAACAAGACCATGCCTTCCTCATCAGCTAGAAGTGTGGTCCATATGTCCTCGTCACACGTAAGAGAGACACTGCAAAGTATATGTGCAAGTGTGTGAGTATACATCAATGCCATGTAGCAGTCAAAACCTTTGCCAATCAGGAGACGACTTAGTTCACTTGAACAGCGCACGCAGGCTAGGCTCTCTCACCTTCAAGCCTTAGGAGAAGATGAGATGGAACAGATTTCCCATTGATCTTCCTCAGTTTGGAATCATCCACTTCTCTAGCAACTTCCTCTGCGAGTTCTCCCAGAGCCTGTGCACGGTCATTTGCAACAATTCAATCACCACCAGTCAGCATTCATCCACCTGGTGTTGCGATATGAAGACAACAGCTACTGTCTTCCCCGAAATGCATCATCAGCCAAACCCTAAATGTCTATTTGGAGCGATTTTCAGGCGTCGTACAGTAGTAATGGCCCCATGGTCTACTCGTGGAAAGATGCTGGAACCGCCACCACATATTCACTGCACAAAGCCCATGCAAACCTCAGGAAGTTTCAGAAAAGGAAGTGAAAGGGTGTTACATAACCAACGGGATTCATTCTGTGCAATATGTCCCAAGCACAAGGTTCACTTTGTGGTTGTGATGTGCACTTGATTGACTCCTTGCTCTTGTTCCTCAATCTAGAATCAAAGCATGTTTGACAAACGGGCCAACTAAATGATTAGGACGAAGACGAAGACGAAGACGAAGACGAAGACGAAGAAAAGTACGACGAAGACGACAACGATGACAACAAGGACTAGGACGAGGACAAGAACGAGGACGAGGATGAAGACGAAGAAAGAGACCTTCCAGACCCCTCCCGGGCATTCCTTTGGTTCTTGATTGACACAGAGCACCTTGCTTAGGACTTGTAGGATCGCATATTGTGGTTCTCACACACGCCCGAACTTTCTGCAGGGAGGGTGATCCACATCTTGGTGGTTTTCGCAGGTACTTCATAGTCCGCTGTTGCAGATAGTGTGTTTGCTGTGTCTCGCAACCCAGTCTGCGTACGAGGATCGGGTAGTGGTACTACTCAGGCCCTGCCTGTTTGGGCCTGCCAGTAGTACTGGCCAGTGGGACCAGGCCCTCCGCCTGGCCCCACCACCCAGTACCGGGCTGCAGGCTCTGCCTACCCGCCAGGGTCTAGTCCTAGCTCACCTATATTCTTGGACTTTTTCATTCATTCAGTTATGGGGCTGCTTGCTTCGTCTCTTCTTCGTGTTGGCGTAGTGTCAATGGTCGCTGCTTGCTTTGTCTCTTCTTCGTGTTCGTGTTGGAGTGTGGTCAATGGTGCCTTGTGGGATGCCCATCCCACCATGCTCACTCTCACCATCACCCCCTTGAGTGGTCCCGCGCCACACACCACTATCTGCCACCACAATGGACCCTATCCAAACCCTTCTCCGGCCCCGGGCGGGGAGGGGAGAGAGAGAGAGAGAGAGAGAGAGAGAGAGAGAGAGAGAGAGAGAGAGAGAGAGAGAGAGAGAGAGAGAGAGAGAGAGAGAGAGAGAGAGAGAGAGAGAACACTACATCTCCACCCCAACTAGCTATCTCGACTATGTCCCAATCATTTGCCATCTACCGGGCTCTACCCTGCCAGTGAGTCACAGCCCCGGGCCCACCCTTTTTCTTATTTCAATTTCCAATTAACGCATTCACATGCTTTAATGCTTGACCAGCAGTTACATGTATGTGCCAGCCAGCCAAGGCCCACTATGAGGATCTGGTGGCGATAGGCGAGGCAGATGCTACCATCACTGCTGTTTTCCCAGCTGCACAAGTAGAAATGGTGAGCCTGGACATGGCACTGTGTGCACTGTGCTAGACAATGTGCACCTGGGATATCAGGCTGCAGTCAGGGTTATCAAAGTCCAATTCATCAGGACCAAATTCCAACTACCTCAGAAGATCCTGAATGTCTGGATCAAAGCCTAGGTGCGAAGTGAAATCCCTCACCCACCCCTAACGCAACAGCATCAGAGTTATAATTCAACTGATTCAAACAGGGACTTACACTTTCAAATTGCAATCTGCTGACCAATAGTTGTAAATTGTAATTGTTTAGTGTTTAATATTTACCACTCAGCCACGCGTGACACACAGAGAAAATTATGCCCCTGTAACAGAGAAGAAGAACAGACAGGATTTCCTTCGGGACATCCGTTTAAATTGTAGCAATGCACAGAAGATTAGCATGGCCCCTGAGCGAGGATGACACACACAAATTGAGCCATGGTCCAAAAAAAGGAAGAAGAGTTGGTACACCCATGAACTTTTGAGATACAGACCCAAGTTCGAATCCAGATGTACTCAAAAGTCTCAAAGTAATGCGGAATAACATGGGGCCGGTCAGTTGAATGGTGATATTTCAAGGTGATCGCCCTTTTAAGAAAAAAAGGAGAAGAAGAAGAAGAAGAGGAACAACAAAAACAACAACAACAACAACAACAACACGCAAGCAAGAAGAAGAAGAAGAAGAAGAAGAAGAAGAAGAAGAAGAAGAAGAAGAAGAAGAAGAAGAAGAAGAAAGAAGCAAGAGGCAAAGTACAGACAGGACATACCATCAGTTCTTGCTCCACTGCTGCCAGCTCCAACTTGCATTCATTAACTGCTTTGTCTCGTGTCTCGATCTGCCAAAGTACAAGAATTGTCAGCTACCACAGCTATCCCTACCAAATGATCCCATCAACAACATATGTCACCACTTGTGGGTCACCTCTTTCTGCAACATGCACAATTGACCACCACTCAGACAAAACTTCCACAGCCATCATATCACATACAGCACTACCTGCAATGTCACCAAATGGCACGAGCACCTACTGTGAACTGCTAAACAACCTCACAACCTCAGAAGCTGGTTCGGTAGTTCTCCTGCACAAACTTGTTCACACAGTTAGCTGAACATAGAGAAGACATCAGGATTGGATGATCTGAAGCAGCCCACCAATCCTCTTTACCAGTCCATAATGTTAAAAAGCAGGGGCAATATCCCCAAGCAGAGTACAGAAATCCCTCTCTCTCTCTCTCTCTCTCTCTCTCTCTCTCTCTCTCTCTCTCTCTCTCTCTCTCTCACACACACACACACACACACACACACACACACACACACACACACACACACACACACACACACACACAGAGGACAGATGCTGCTACAATGTCTTGCTTTCTTCCACTTGCGGCGCCACCTCCCCCCCGCCTTCGCCTCCTTCCCCGTGCGCTGATGTGATGGTGACACCCACACGCGATGAGCTTCCCCGAGTTCTCGGCGAAAACAGCCCGGTGGTACCATGGCGTGCGCGCTACCCGAGAAGCAAAAGCGCAACAGCAAAAGTTCTCCCGACTCCCCTGCACGCTCCCCTTCGTATCTTGTCCCACCAGGGTTCCTTCGACAACCCTCGAGTCTCCCCTGTTTTTTTCTTTAGTGCTGACAAACATGGTCGATATTGACTTTTACCCCTTCACTCTGAGGTGGTGACTGTACTTGACCCCCTTTCCCTTGTCTTTCGCTGCGCAACGACTCTTCCCGCTTGACTATTGTTGCCTTCTTTCTCCGCTGCCGCCTCTACACGTTCCCCATAAGACCACTCCTCTTGGGTGTTGTCACTAAAGGCGATCATAAGAGATGTTTTTTCTTTTTTCTGGGTGTAAAGCAGCCTCATATTTTCTGCTACAGTTCCCTTTCGAACCCCTGGCCCTTCGTTGGTTATCTTCAAAGTGGTTTCCATAGCCAAGGCCCTTTTTTTTGCAACAACGAAGCAAGGGTATGGATGATTAGATTCCGAATGTTTTCTAGCAAGGACCTGACATACAGGTTCAGAGCTGTTTGGGAACTTTTGGAAGTATAGTTCACCCCTAGAACCTAGATTAACTCTTCAACACTCTTTGCACGAGCCGCTATATTGTCAAACCTGCGGGTCTCCACCATGTTCTTGAGTTCATCTGATGCTTCTACGCAGCAGTAAGATCCCTGAACGGGCTATTAAAGCCACCAGTACGTCAATCATAATTCACACCTAGAACCTAGAGTAGCTCTTCAACCCTCTTTGCAAGAGCATTCTCAAGCCTGTGAGTTCGTCTGATACGTCGGGGCAGCAGCCAGATCCCTGAATGGGTTCTTCAACCCCCAGTACATCGTCCAGGTCAACATGAGAATTGAAATCCAGCCAATCCGGAAATTTTGGAGGCTCGGGGCTACCAGACCGAAATGACTGGTGGCACCAACCAAAAGAAAAGAAAAGTATTGGCCTGGCGTTTCCGCAAAAAAGCTTGGCGTGCAGGGGGAATCCGCCTCGGCCAAAAGAGGCTCAGATAGTAATACTGGTGGTTTCACTAACTCCAAAACTTCCAAAACTTCCACTAAGCTGCACCTCACTCACTACCCCACCATTCAGATTCTTGTCAAGGCCCACCTCTCCCATCTCACTCTTCTGCTGCTTTTGTGCAGCAGAAGACAAAGAAATGTTGCTACCACTACTTGACTTCCTTGAGGATGTCAATTCTACATCTAGAAATCTGGCCATCGGCAATATGCACGAGGCATGCGAATTCGTTTTCTGATAGCCTAAAGGTTAATACGTAGGTAAGCATCAGGTTTCTTTCTTAATGACAAGGCCACCATAGTCATTCTATGCTCAAGACCCTTATAGGACCTCTCTGGTGGTATCATTGCGAAATGCAGCACACCCTCTAATTCTTTTGAGATGTATGCACGGCTTTCAAACGGGCCCCTCCCGGGGCCCACATTGGTTCAGCAGTTGCAGAGTGTGAGTTTGGGGTAGCTTTTTCTTTTTTCTTTTTTCTTTTTTCTTTTTTCTTTTTTGAAACAGAAAAAAATTGACAATACTTAATTGGAAAGAAGGGGCCGGCCACCCCACATAAAGGACGGGTCGGGGAGCATCTGCATTTCTCTAAGTTTGTGTTTGCTGTTGTTCTCAGTCGTTTGTCTGTTCTGAGTTTATTTTGTCTGTTCCAGCTTTGTCTGGTCTGGAAGTGTCATTTCAGCATTTTCGTCCAGAGCGGTATTCCCTCTGGGCCAGCGGCAGTTTTTAGGCCTGGCTCAGGGCATATTCACACTAGCACGTAAAATCGCAATTTTTGCGTTGGCCAGCCAGTTTGCGATTATAGGGCACCGCCTGCTCACACAGCTCTCCCACATCTAGCACAAAACAGAACAGACACAACCACGACCAGTCATCCAAATCAGACCAAATACTAATTTACGCACCGGAAAGTTACACCGCACGAGGCACAAAAATTTAATGGTGAGCGCAGGAAGAAACCACGGGAAAAAAAATATGTATTTTGCGGGAACCTGCAGAAGTGCCCGAAAAATACGTATACCCATGGCTGCCCAGGCTGCTGACATATACGTACCCAGATACGTGAATTCGCAAAATGCGGCAACTGTGTGGCCCCTAAAGTTATACAATTTTTTGGATTTTGCGATTTTACGTGCTGGTCGCAGCTGGTGTGAGTATGCCCTCACTCAGATTCGGGCTGAACCACGTTTCGGACCAGCCCTGGTTTTGTCCTTTCGTGAGGATACCTCTGATGTTTCAGCAGAGGAGCCCGGACGTCCGGTTGGGACCCAGGCAGGCCGCTTCTGGCCAGGACTCAGGACCAGGATTTGCGCCTGCATCCTGGCCTGTTCATCGGTAGTACGATCCACCGGCCAAAAACACAGGCCAAAGTAGGATCCAGGAGGTGCAGCACTATATATAGCTGGCTCAGCTTCATTCTGGGCATGCAGCATTCAGGAGTCATGCTACTACGCTGCTGGAGCAGCACTGGAGTTTTAAGCTACGCTACCCTAGAGGGATAGGAGGACAGGGAGTGGTCGCCAGGAGATGCTGAGGAAGAGAGGACTCATCTGGGGACTTATGCAATGACTTGCTGTTTTCTGGTCGCCTGTAGCCTCTCTCTGTTGAGGCTGTACTATAGGTAGGACAGATTCGCAATTTTGTTTGGCTGAGGGCTAACCGAGAGACCTACCTGTGACGGAAATTCGTGAGGGACATATCTGCAAATTCGGGAAAATACAGGCCCGGTACTAACCGGATTCCCTACAGCTACCCTAACTGCAGATAGCAGGCCCGGGCTACCCCTAGGACAGACAGGCCTAAGGGCCTATTCTGAATAGACGGTATTATTGAAACAGTTTTCACCTTTGGCAGTAGCCGATGCAGATCCCAGGGGTCGATCCCTTGACCTCAGCTTACCTGTGTACAGTATCTGTACAGTTCCCTGGAGTTGAACCCGTGACCTGCACGATAGCCAGTGGTAAGTAGGTCACCGTAGGTTGTAGGCTGTAGGGAGATTCGAACTGTAGACCTGTAGGGTAGGAGTCCAAGTAGAGTCC